TTCAGATCGGAAAATTGGCGAGCGATCTGAGCCGAGGTTTTTCTGGCTCGTTAGAAAACGAGCCTAACGAGCTGAGCCCAAAACGATCCGAGCCAAATGAGCCGAGCCCAAAACGATCCGAGCTGGCTCGTTTGACACCCCTAGTTTGGACCCAGCAAAGACCACGTTTAAGCGAGTCGAAATAATTTTGAACTGACTCAGTAAAGACAGTGTCAATTAGATCGATCAATGCAATGCCAAAAGTACACTCTACTTCGACACATGTTCATCTTGTATTTTTTTTATTCAGTTCAATTTTTTTTTAAAAATATAATATATGAAATTCATTATATGAAAATATTTCATTCGATTTCAATTTAAATTTTTAATTTAATCTAAAATTTATTTTTATTAATATATATTCTTCAAAGTTTTTTATTATTTTCGTATTAATGTGTATCATTTTATATTAATTTGTATGTGATTAGGTTAAACTGATATAAAAAATTATATTCAATACAAACAAAATTATATATATTGTTAAAATTGATTATATACCTTTATTATATGTTTCAATCAAAATATTTCTTCGTTACAAAAACTAATTAATATTTCCCATGAACATCACTCCCATCACGAGAGGTAGACAAAAATTTTACCAACGCATTATTTTGATATATATTTGATAAAATCTCACTAAATTTTAAGAGTGATATATTCTTTTGATATGACGAAACACTTTAATCTCTATATTTAAAAATAAAAAGAGATATTCAAAGTTGTACAAATTATAGAGGCATTAAATTTATGAGTCATACCATGAAGTTATGAGAAATGATTGTAGAGCGACGTTTATATGCGATATATCTATTTCCGCAAACCAATTTGGTTTTATGCCTGGAAGGTCTACCAATGGAAGCAATCTTTCTTATTGTAACTTGATAGAGAAGTTTTGAGATATGAAAAAAGATTTGCATATAGTATTTATCGATTTCGAATGATCGAGTACCAAGAGAGGTTTTATGATGGTTATTAGAGCGTAGAGAAGTATCAATGAGATACATACAAGTTCTGAATGCCATGTATGAAGATGCGACCACTAGTGTCCGAACAGTAGGGGGTGATACGTGAGACTTTTCCATCTCGATAAGGTTGCACCAAGGATCCGCTTTAAGCTCGTACCTCTTCACGTTAATCATGGACGAATTGACTAAGGATATATAGAAATAAGTACCGTGATGTATGATGTTTGCGGACGATATCGTGTTAATAGATGAGTTCAGAAAAGGAGTAAATGGACAATTAGAGTTATGGAGGAGTACATTAGAGGCCAAAGGTTTTAGGCTTAGTAGAACGAAAACCGAGTACATGCATTACGATTTTAGTGGGAGGCGTTCTAGTGATATAGGAATTAACTTGCAAGGAGGATTAGTACCTCAAAACCCATATTTTAAATATTTTGGTTCAATCCTCTAAAAGGATAGAGATTGCGACGAAGATGTTAGTCATAGGATAAAAGCGGGATGAATGAAATGGAGGCAAGCCACGAGGGTCCTTTGCGATCGCAAAGTTTCCATACGGTTGAAAGGAAAACTCTACCGTACAGCCATAAGATCCGCATTGATGTATGGTAGTGAGTGTTGGACGACAAAAGGACAACATGTGTCCAAAATGTGTGTGACCGAGATGAGAATGTTGTGATGGATGTGCGGACATACATGGATGGACAGAATCCGGAACGAAAGTATTAGAGAGAAATTAGGAGTCGTAACCACAGAAGAGAAATTATGGGAAGGACGCTTAAGGTAGTTTGGACATGTAAAACATATACCGTTCGACGTTCCGGTTAGAAAATTAGAGACTGTAAGGATAGAAGTGAAGAAACGAGGAAGAGAGATGATGTCGTAAATCTAGGTGTATAAATTCGATCAAGTAATAATATCCTAGACTCAATAAATACCGCAAGTGTACGGATCGTGTGTAGTAGCTAGGGTCGAACACATGGACAAAAGTAGACAAAGAAATCAAAAATCTCAATCCAAATGTAGATCCAAATAAAATAAGATGAGTCTGAAAGTGTAGCTAAACGAACAATAAAAACGATTATAATTACGAATGATGAACACTGTATAGAAATCTTGAAGAATTTGAGATTAAAAGATCAGACAAGAGAGGTGAACCTTAAATGAAATAAAGGCCACTTGTTTTCTCTATGTCTATTGCAGAACTTTTACAAAGTATATAACAACATTTACAAAAAGGAAAATATGGAAAGAATGTAGTATAGACGTTGAGAATGAGTTAGGAATTGGTAACTACAATCTGTAATATACCCAAGATGAAAATGTTCCAATATTCTCCTTGATTTTGTCCGACATATAATATGGGATATTGGCTGATCATATCCCTCTGATTTTGCTCTCAAATGGTCGAATATTCAGCTGCATATGTAACGACCTGAGGTCGCTACGGAATGATAGAGCTGTCTCACACACCAACACGAGATCTTTTAGCGTGTTTTGTCCTCACTCGCACACATCCCGGAAAGCACTTCCCAGGAGGTCACTCATCCTAAGAGTACTCTAAAGCGAGCACACTTAACTTTGAAATTCTCTCGAGATGAGCAATCGAAAAGGTAGATGCATCTTGTTGCTATGAGTAGCTCAATTAATTCCTTTAAGTTATCTTAGACTGTGTAGTCCCATACCTACACAGCCCTCGGATCCCTCTCATTCTGGTGCGTTCGATTCATCCCTGTATCCCTACCCAGAAGCTCGTCAGGAGCCGCTCCTTGTCCGTGCCTCTCGCACCGGCGATCACTCTCCGCCCTCCTACGGTATCCTGGGTTGTCACAGACCCACCAGCTTCCACCTGGTTCGTCCTCGAACTACACTGTACTGGGAGAGAACCGGCTCTGATACCATTTGTAACAAACCCAGGCCGCTAAGGAATGATAGAGCTGTCCCCACACACCAACACGAGACCTTTTAGCGTGTTTTGTCCTCACTCGCACACATCTCGGAAAGTACTTCTCAGGAGGTCACCCATCCTAAGACTACTCCAAAGTTAAGCGTGCTCGCTTTGGAGTTCTCTCGAGATGAGCAACCGAAAAGGTAGTTACATCTTGTTGCTATGAGTAGCTCAATTAATTCCTTTAAGTTATCTTAGACTGTGTAGTCTCATACCTACACAGCCCTCGGATCCCTCGCATTTCGGTGTGTTCGATTCATCTCTGTACCCCCTACCTAGAAGCTCATCAGGAGCCGCTCCTTGTCTGTGCCTCTCGCACCGGCGATCACTTTCTGCCCTCCTATGGTATCCTGGGCTGTCACAGCATATGTGGCCAAATTATTCACCAAATCCTTTACTTCAAGTTGAGTCTTTCGATGCATGTATATCAGATTTGTTGTACATTTCTTCCGCATTTCTTTGGTCTTCAACACACTGCAGGTTTCAAGAATGCTTTGCATGCATGGATCCTCTCTAAAGATGCAAACTCTATGGTTTATAAATCCAATTAAGGGAATTCAAGCTCTAAAGTAGAGATTAACTCTCTCGAGTCTAACCTCACTATCTAGGCTTTGTCCTACTAATATCTCGATTCAATAGTCTAAAATCCTGGATG